CACCAACTGAAAAAAAACTAATTAATATATCTGGGAAAAATAAATTTATGTTACCTGAGCTCTACGAACTAGATTTCGAGGGACGAGAGGAAATATACAAAGAGAGAATCGTAATGAAGTGAAATTTTATCTATACGAAAATTCCAAATGGATCAATGGAAAACATCAATTATTGAAGCACGGAGAGTCATAAAGAGTATCGTATGACTGAACCCAATGCATCATTTTACCTCGTATAAAGCCCAGCTGGGCCAAGCGAATGTTGATAGAAACGATTGTATCGACGACGAATCGCAACATATTCCTTACCAACTTGATTTGGAAATATCAGAACAGCATCCTTGTTCGAAACAATCTGGAAGCATAATTCTATAAATGATTTAAAATAGTCAAATTTTTCAATCGTTTTAAAATATGAATTTGGCCTGCTGTTTTCAGATGGTGGTTGATTGTTTTGACGAATTCCAAAGATAATGAAACAAGTTGAAAATCGCAAACAAGGATTGATGCTCTCAATCAGTCGTCGTGTCAGCTATCGGTTGACGAAATATTCGGAATTGATTCAGACAGTATTCAAGCAAACAGATTCTCTATTTGATTGAATTATTGATCTATGTGATCAATTCAAAATCTGGGCGGCTCTCATTCACCTGACAGTTTGAAATCACATCGCCGCTGAAGATTTGTTTCTGGCTATGAATGAAGGTCGTGTCTCCACTCGCACCAATCCAAGTGGCTACCGTACCGCATGCACGACCGTATCCAGGCACGAAAGCGGGTGTTGCATTCCAGTTTCGATCATCGCTCTCTCTGAAATCATCTTCCCTTGTAGTGTTCTGCCGCAATCCAACTGATGCATTGCTCAAAGTGAATCAGTTTCTGACCTCGCCAATTGTCCGGCTCGATGCGCACCAAACGTTATAACCGCGCCATCGGCAGTCCGGAGCACCGAGTGGTTTGCACCAGCTGCGATTTGTACCACGTGTACGNTTGTGGGCAATTCAACCTGAATGTCGCAATAATTTGCACAATCCATGTAATATTTCTTCAACACATCGAGTTTTATTCAAAGGTTCGTCATCAATTCAACTGATAATTTGTTGTTGTTTTTAACTTGTCGTACATTCAGCACATCTCATATGACATTTGCATTAGCATTTCCGGTGATCGTAAACAGACACTGAAAACAAGAAAATACTATTATTACTTTTTGTGGACCGTTGCAGCGCTTTGAATGACCAACACCCAGTTGACCATGACAATTTGAACCGAACGTGAAAACTTGTCGATCAGCTGCCAGTACGATCGTATGATAATTTCCGCAACTCACCGACGATATCTGCAATGATCATTCTTTGATGTCAATGAAGGGAAAAAATGAATGTTATGCATATAGTTCGACAATTTCATATGTGAGCAGAAATGATAACGTGCGATAAAACAATTCATTCAGTGAATTTAACAAGACTGCTTGTATTTAGCTTTGTCACACAAGTAGAAACATCACTACCGAAGGGTTACGCTCGATCAAAAATAGCAACAGAATCCGATTTGACCTTAATATCTGGCAACGTTTTCTGGAGTACTACACGTGCTGGCATCAGCATTGCTCGTTGCGGTGTTCCGAGGCGATCGCCATCTGACTGTGGTGCTTCATCGTGATTCTGCTCACCACATGCTCGGCAAAGACCACATCTTAATCATGATATAAATGCGGATAAATGGCAGAATTATTCTGTTCAGGATGCTTTTTCACGTCGTCATATGCGACTTCCCGACCTCATCATAATATAGAAAACTCACCTCAAACAACATGTTTCACCTTCACCGCACGCACACACTGTTCCTTTTTTGGGTGCTTGATTCTCTTGAGAAAGTCTCGCAGCTGTACATCTGAAATCCACCAGCTGATGCTTTGAATCAAAATTTATTTGCACTGAATCGATATCAAATTTGATCAAGTGTTAAAATTTCATAGCAGAAAGTGATCATTGGATAGTGGATTAATGAATAGAACTGTGAAGTGACAAGAGAATGAATGACATGCGAAAGAGCGCTACCTGGCTCCTCTCGCCGAGCATTTTCCACATTTTACGCAAATCGACGCGAAATCTTTCACCCACATATGTTCAGTTGGTGCA